ACGTAAGAGAATTATATATATTAGATCAGAAACACATCATTAAAAGGCAGAATGCTTTGGTGTTTTCAAAACAAAGCAAACGTTGCCACAGGCGGAAAAGAAATACAGCCAAAATTTGGGAGCCACGTAAGAGAATTATATATAATAGATATTATGTTGCTTCATATTATATAACATTATACTATATAATGCCTTATATTATATTGTCTTATGTTTCAAATTAAAAATTATTTTTTCTCAGTAAATTTTATAAGTTTACTTTGTGAGTAAAACTAATATGTGCTTCAATTTCTTACTTACAGTGTCCGACTGGATTATTTTGCAGGTAAGTTAATAAATAATTACAAAAAAAAAGTGGTGACACAAATGAAAAACTCAAAGGAATAATGTACTAAATAAACCAATTTCGAGAAATTATAGCAGCTGTAGAAAGCTGTTTATGAAACAGCTTTCTGCTGTGATTTTTATAGGATGTTCGAAACCATACAGTAATTGCTAAAAAATAAGAGCGTGTACAGAGTAAAAGCATAAAATGATTTGAGAAAATTTAAAGTTATCGTACAGAAATCAAGACCTCCATGGCAAAATCAGAATTTTAATCAATGGTTTTAATCCATTATATAGGATGAAAAAAAGAAAGAAAAACATTTTGTCAACAAAAAAGTTTTAAATCATAAAAAAAAACGGAGAAAGTCCGAAAAAAATGGATATTTCGTACAGTATATGTAATTCATTTGCTCTAATCATGAGAATTATGAACTATAGTTATTTATAGCTATTTCTTTAAAAGCAAACACATTACAAATTATTAAAGACATTACGAATTATTTACTCACATTTGACTGTAAACAGTACATTTAAATAATGAAATTAAAAAATCAACAATTGTTTTTTATTTTATTCAAACATTATCCATTAAAAGTAGTAGATAGTTACTTTTACCTTTACCCTAATCATTAATGGTTTTAATCCATTTTGGTTCTGGTCAAAAACAGAAAAAACGAACTTCTTTGCTAACAAAACAGTTTCAGACCATCAAATAATCGGAGAAAGTATGAAATAGAATGGATATTTATAATATCCCTATTTTATAAATATCTATAAATATGACCTATTTCATAAATATCCTATTTCTGTAAATATTTTTGTATCCTTAAGTTATTTTCCTATACTGCGCTTTCAATTCAAGAGTTTAAAACTGAGAGAATTGTTTTATTATTATTATTATAGTTATTATAATATAACTCTTCTCTACATCTTAAGACAAAGTTATTTAGAAAGGTGGTCTAGTCTTATTAACTGTTTCACAATTCTTATTTCTGTGCAAATAACATTAACATACTGTTATAAATTACGGTTAAAAAGATGTGTTAAATGATTTAGAACTGAAGGATCAGCTTCATTCACAGTGTGAGGCAAGGAAAATAGTAAATATATCCGCTCGTCTGGTAAGTGAAAATATTAAATTTCGGCTGTGAACTCATCGAATTTGTTTGAACAATACAATGTTATTTTAAAAAATGATTACTTAAAAAAATTACTTCTGTTCACCGATTGTTCTAAATATATATAGTACTAATAGATATTTGGACGTGGGTGGTGGAGGCACAAGAGTAAGCAAACAGAATTCCTTTTAGAATATTTGTTTTATCTTTAGTACAAAAAACTGTTTTCTGCCAAGAAAAAACAATTATTGCATTAAGGTTGGTAAGCGGCAGCGATCAGGGGACTTAGCCTAGTATTGAATAAATTATTAATTCATTTTGCAGCATATTCAAATTTATTTCAAAATATATTAACAAACATTCATCGATGATAACTAAGTTAGTTTTGTAGTCATTGTACAAAGTTTTTTATTAATGTAAATTTAAGAAAAAAACATTTGACAGGAGAGAAAATTTTCAGCTTATTTTAATATCGATTGTGACAAATTTGTAAAATCGATAACTTAGATCTTACTTTGGCAAACTGAATTTACAATAAATTAAAGAAATATTAATTCTTCAATATAATTCATTATTTTTTTCAGGAACGATCTTATTACTGTTAGTGTTTCTTTCCGCACATTCAAGTTGACAAAACACATATCTCAGCCAAAATATGAAGTAAGTAATGTAGTTCTTTTTTCTGAATACAATCGAGCACAAATATAATTTCTTTAAGAAAAAAAGCCATGCTTTCGTAAAAAATGTTTTGGCACTAAATTAAAATTTAAATTGAATACAAGATAAAAATAAGTTTAAAATATAACTAAATATGAAATCGAATTAAATTTAATGCTAAACCAAATTTGAAATAAATTTCGTTTTAAAGTAATTAAAATAAAATCATTAGATTTCATTTGAATTTATTTTGAAACTAATATTTTCTAATTTATTAAATTAAAATAAAAAAATTATTGTTGAATTTAAACTTTTTTTAATTTTATTTTAATTTATACAAATTAAAAATAATTGTAATTCAATAAAAATTCATCTTAATTATGAATTATTTTCAATACAAATGACACAGAAAAGTTTATTATATGGCAGATTATGAGTAAAAAAAAAAGCATGAAAGTTAACGTTGTTCCCACATTTTAATTTTCCATTCATCGTAAAATATATGCAAACTTCATTAATTACTTTGGCATATACATCACAACATATTTAAATCACCAGCCCATATTTCGTCTTTACAGGACAAAGGTATCTTTTTAAATATATAATTAAAAAAATGCCTGATAATTGAAAAAATTACCATTCCTCTCTGAGAATTTTTATTACAAAAACGCAATAATAGCTGTTGCCTACTGTATGTGAAAGAAAAATTCATAAAATTGTATGCCTTCTTAAGTAAACCGTTTCCTGGAAAAAGAGTTGACCAGACATTCTGTCAATTTGCAGAAAATACTGTGTTTAATTGTTTGAGGGTACGGATTTCGTCAAAAGCGATAAGCTTCCGTACCATTCCACTATCAGTGGTAAACACTAATTAATTAGCAGTTTCGTCAAATATTTAAGAGTTCAAGTTTCAACAAAAAGTGCATGATTTTGTGATGTAGTGAATGTCAAGAATTGCGAAACATAACTCAAATTAGCCGATTAGTCAAAAATGAGAATGTCTGATTGAGAATAATCTATTAAAGTATTTGATTATTCTCAATCTGTCTCAATAGATATTAAATTCTACTAAATATCTATTTAGTAGAATTTAATATCTGCTAAAACAGGGAGGGCGAACCAATGGCACGCGTGGTTATTTATTGCACGCGACGCTATATTTTGGGCACACCACCGATCATGAAGTTCACTATGAAGCATATTAAAAATTAAATTAAGATGCATAAAAACAAACAAAAAAAAACAATTATTAACAAAAGAATTAACAATTAATGCCTAGAAAAAAATTAATTAATAACCATAAAAAAACAATCTAACAATTGACTAGCAAAAAAATTAACAGTCCTGCTTAAGCTAACATCTTACAACCTAATATAAAAATAAAAAGTTTTGAGTTGACATTATTTTGTATTATTATTTTCCCAATAATCACGAAATCAAAATTATTTGACGGCGTGTCTATGACCTCATTAAACAATTTTTTTTAGAAAAAATGGCACGTTGGTGCATAATGGTTTGCCACCCCTGTACTAAGATATTAAATTCTACTGAGATATCCTTAGTTACCTTCGTTATAACTAAAGATATCTTAGTTATAACGAAGTTATAACTGAGATATCTCTAGTTATAACGAAGCTATAACTGAGATATCTCTAGTTATAACGAAGTTATTACGTTATACGTTATACGTTATTGCGATAACTTGAAGGTATATCGTAAGTTACCTTCAAGTTATATTAAACCTACAGGAATATAACTTGAATTCCTCTCCCTAGATAAGAATATCACTCATCATTAATTCTGCGTGAATTTAATTCAAGTTTCTCTTTGATATTTTACAGAGCATTGAGTTGTTCAGCTATATTGGAGGATTAATTGGAATGTGGTTAGGTATCAGCCTCGTGTCTATTTTTGACCTCTTAGAATCATTGAGCTACTTGCTTTACTATCTTTTCATGAGCAAGAAACTTTCCAAGCATCGTAATATTTGAAAAAATATTGAATTGTCTGTTTTAAAGAAAAAAAGAAATATACTTATGTGGAGTATGCGGTGTTCAACTGCTTTGAACAAAATTTATCTATTTGTAAAAATGTTGAAGATGAAGAATTATTTATTAAATGTGTAATAAAAATTTTACGTAATTAATTCTTTATTTGTCCCATTAGTTGTTTTATAAGGAATGAAGATTTATGAAATTATTGTTATCTTGCAAATTAAAATACTGTTTGTGTCTCCAATTTATTTGCTTACCTTCAATAAATTGACTCATTCAGAATTTTTTTTTCTGCTTAAAGTAGAGAAGCTGTAATTTGTTGAAGTTAAAAGCTGAAATTTTTTGACACCAGAATATTTTGCCATTGTTTCAAAAAAACATTTTTGCCTGCTGATAGGGATATTTTTAATTATAAAACTAACAAAAGTTTTTCTTTAAAATACCAAATTGTCTGAAATTGTTCGCATCTCAAATATTTTTTCGTCTTCTTTTTTTCTTTAAGTAAATATTTATCAAATGTAGTAGAATTTACTTTTTAACTTCATGCTTGAATTTATCTTAACAAGTACCAAAAAAATGAATAAATGTGAAATATGAAAAAAAATATAGGATGTTGCTAGAATAAAACCATAATATATTTCGAAATTTTTAAAAATATGAATACTAAATCTAGATAATAAAAGTTTACAATGAGAAGGTTATGCTTTTTTATTCTTAATAAAGGAAATTACTTCTCATTTATTATTTCAAATTGTTTCGAACATTCTGCATTCCTCAGTTTAATTTTTTTATCGTACATTTAATGATTATTTTTAAATTCAAGTCATTCATTACGATTATTTCATTACGATTAACATATTAATTAAAAAAGGGTGGACACAGAACTGTAATATTAGTATATTTTATAAACAAAATTAGATTTTTTAATCATGAATGTGATGCAACCACGAGGGCTGTTGAGAGGAGCGAATAAAGGACAAAGATTCCCTGAATAATTAAACATCTTCATACCTTTATTCTAACATTTTTTTAATTAAACAACAATTTAAACTCTTGTCCATTTTATACCAGTCAACAACAATTCACTGTAAGTGGTGAACTTTAAGACAAATTTTTGCAATGAGTTAATCAATAAAGAGGATAATAATCATGAATGTGAAAATACGTTTATTTGGACAATGTTTTTACTAGTTGAAGTCACATTTATAAGACTATTTTTTTTATTACTACCATCGTTGAAAAGTTGGTCCAATTTAGAATAAACGACTCAACTCCGTAGCCTTGTAATTTTGAGCCCTATCCAGAAAGAGGGATGTCCAGGCTTAAGTATTGAAAGAAATGTACCTGTGTGGAGGACTATTTGATGGGCTTAACTCGCAATTGCATTATATGAAAAGAAAATCAACGAAAACCTCCTATTATTAGCCTGACGGCAAGAGGACTCTAAAGCCTAACCCATTGATTCTCAACGGGGGCGATACCGCCCCCCTGGGGGCGGCGGGACTATGCTGAGGGGCGGTGGACTTGTTTTGGGCAGTAGGGGGGCGTTGGGTATGGTTTGGGCGGAAGGGTGGCGTTGAGCATGTTTTGTCATTCAAATTTAATTTTAAAACTTACAAATAAAATTATTAAATAAAGATTAATTTAATAAAAAAAATTATAATAAAGAAAAAAAAGATTAAATTAATATAATAAATAAAGATTATCCTATACACTATTTGAAACAGCAATAAAACGAACTTACACGACACCTATTCTTCGATCCGAACCAACACAGCTCAGCGCATGAGCCAGTAGTTTTTGCCTCTGACTCATTCAAGCCATTTGGTGGAAATTGCAGTACATGCGCTTTCAGTATGAATGTTTGATTGGACCCGTGTTTCTTATAATGGTTTTCGTTAGCTTTCTTGCGGTTTTTTTCCCCAGTTTCGATTAGATCTCATAGTTTATTTGGCCAGGTACGTACGCGAATTAGTTCTTTATAGTATCATAAATTATTTATTAATTTTGAGAAATAGTTGATTTTCTTTCATCGTTTGTATTTTGCTGACACCAACAATGTCGGTTGACAAAAAGAAGTGTCATCAATACAGTGTCACGTACTTGAAGTTGGGATTTGTTCAATTACTGTTGAACTCTCAATTACCTATGTGTTTACTTTGTAATAAAGTTTTATCTAATGAGGTAAGGGAATCTTACCGTTAGCAAGAGCATTTGCAAAAAACTAGATATAGATTAGTCATTTTTGACGAACGTCTTTTTTCACGTTTCTGAAGGCACCTTCGGTCTCAGGGTAACTAGTAACGTCATCACAAAAATGCGACGGTGGTTTGATCGCTTCTTATAATATATCAAAATTTATTGCTAAATCTGGGAAAGCTCAAACCATCGGAGTAGAGTTGATACTGCCGGCTGTCAAGGAAGTTTTAGAAACAGTTTTACATCATCCAATGTAATAAAAAACTTTCCCATAAACAACGATTCAGTGCGGCGACGAAATGATGAGATGGGTGAAGACGTTGAAATTTCTTTATGCAAACTTTTGATGTCCAACGAATTTTCCCTTCAAGTTGATGAATTTACCTTGCCAGGTAATGCAGGCTTTACTGTAGGCATAAGTCCGGTTTGTAAAGGAAGGGAAAATTATTCAAGATATGTTTTTTGCAGGAAGTTTGATTGTAGATATAAAAGGTAAATCTATTTTTAGTATTGATTTACTGATTTAGTGCTGAGATTATTTTAAAGAGAAAAACATTCCTCTTGCGAATATTATGTCCATTGCCACTGATAGTCTCCTGCAATGGTGGGTCTACATCGTGAGTTTATCGCCCGTTTGGAAAGGGAGGTACCAGATATTTTAGCTGTTCACTGCGTGATTCACAGACAGTATTTAGTAAGAAAAAATCTCAGTGACCGTTTGCATCAATCATTTCAATATGCCGTATCTGCTGTGAACAAAATTCACAGTAATGCTCTCTAAGATCGATTATTTAGACAACTGTGTAAGAAAAACGATGAAGAATTCAATCGCTTGCAATATACACAGAGATCCACTGACTTTCCAAAAGCTTCTGTCTCAATAGGTATTGTAATCTTTTCGACTCTGTGCTTGAATTCCTCGAAAACAGAAATGTAGCTCTAAGAGACAGATTGCTAAAATTTAAGAAAGACTTTGGCTGATTTATCTGTAAAATTTAATGGCATTAATTTACGTCTTCAAGGCGACGAGCTCAATTCGATCCCTACAAAATAAGTTATTTTCGCCTTTCTAAAAAAAACTGATTTTGTTTTAGCTGAATTTTGGTTGGAATGAGTTCAGCCATGCAGGCAAAATTCTCTCTGATGATGCACATGCACAAGAATATTGTCAACACCTTGACTCTTTGCACATGGACTTTTCTGACCATTTTAAAGATCTTTTGTTCCCTCGAAGTCCCTCAATGGGTTTATGAACCCTTTTGTAAATATTGAAACAGCAGAGGTTCAGATTTACGAGGAATTGGTCGAACTTTTAACTAATGAAACTTTGGAATGGGGATCATCTCACAGAATTTTTACTTAACACTAAATAGACTGAAATACCTATATTGTTCAAAGGCAGTCAAAATGACTGCATAGAATAACTAATGAATAAAGAAAGCATAACTAATGTATAAAGAAATTTGTTTAAAATAAAATTTAATATTTTTGTTATTATTTTCAGTTATATAACAAGTTATTTGCAAATATCAACAATAAAAAAATTAAATGTTGTACAAAAAGTCACAAAATTCTAAGAAATTGTGTTATCATTGTTTTTCTAATTGAAATTAAAAAGCAGTCAAAATGACTTCCATAGGCAATCTAGTGTTAAAGGTAACAGTTGTCTCTATCTTGGACTGTAGAATATCGCTAAAAAATTTTTAATTGCCTTCCCTGCCTCCTAACTTGTCGAATGTGGATTCAGTGCTGTTACGAATCTTGTCAAAAAAAGAAGAAATCGACTCGAAATTGTGCAAACGTGGGTATTTGCATCTTCATCTCACTAAAAGTATTGAACCGAGCGTTAAGGTATTGGTTTTGAACAATTAAGTACAATCATCCCACTAACATAGTCACTTGAATGTTTCGTTGATACTACTTTTTAGTGTAACAAAATTATTTTGGGTGTTATTTTAATTATCTAATTTAGAATAAATTATTATTTTTAAGCATAGGTTTCTTAGTTGTATTTTTTTTTTCATTAAACGTATTTATTTTGATCATAACAAATATACGGCGATTACCTGCCGTGAGAAAATTATCGAGTTAATTTATTCTTTTTTAAAAAACCAAACAAATTCAAAGCGTAAAAAAATTGCTTAAAAAATTTGCCTCTTATGATTCAGCACACATCCCTCCGTCCCCATGCTTAAAATAACAGGATTTTTATAAAGGGGGGCGTTGAAATATTTTTTGCTCCTTAAGGGGGCGGCAACGTTAAAAAGGTTGAGAACCTATGGCCTAACCGGTCAACCGCATAAGTATTTTACGTCAGCACTGTGCCATGCCGGCACAGCGCAAGCCGGATGCGGAATTCGTATCTACCAGTCCTGGCTGGGGCTCAAACCCATCTCATATATATATATATATATCTATATTTTTTTTTTTTTTTTTTTTTTTTTTTTTTTTTTTTTTTTTTTTTTTTTTTTTTTTTTTTNCGCCACTAATTTGCATATTGCAATTTTACTCAGCTACTCTTAGTGGACAACATATGCAAATTTTGCACGGTTTGGCTTTCTTTTGAAAGAGTTATCGCTATTTTTGTGATTTTTCCTTAATTTATGATAACCAGTGTATATATATATATATATATATATATATAAGGAGAGAGAGAAGAGAGTGGAATGATAACACATAGCCGATCACAAAAGACTTCTGGCTAGTGACGCACAAAACAGCCAATCGAAATTGAGTGAAATTGTGCGCATGTGTGTGAAAAGGTAACAATTTTAAAAAATGTCTGCAGAAATGTTACAACTAAACTTACCAATTATATCTTGTTTCGATTTTTATTTTGTATTAAGTGTGTGAAATATATTGAACAGACTTTACTTTAAAATACTT